CAAACATATATCTGAATCATTAGGATGGTATACAGATATGCCAATTAGTGTAAAGGACAAAGATAATAAGATTGTTATGTTTACTAGAAATTTTGCTTGTATTAATAATAGTGAATCTGAGCTAATGCTATGTATAGATATAACATGGATTCAAAAGATTCATAGTGTTCTTGATCTTAGTAAAAACTAATTTCAAATAAAGTTATATGGGAAGACTTACACTATTCCAACTTTTAGTAAGCCTCCAGAGGTTAGTGAACCAGAGTAACGAACATCAGATATGCATAATGGTGAAGACTTAAAAAAAAATATAACGCACTTGAAAAGCAACTTATAAAGACTAAAGAATAGCTTGATATAGCTTTAAATATAATATATTCTGACAAACAAATCGATTTCTTTCACAGATTAGAATTCTATTCCAAGATTCAAATTATATCAGATATAAAAAATCTAGAAAATAAAGCAACTATTAAAAAAGAATTTATTAGAGCTCTTGATTATATAGAATATCTTAAAAAAGAATTAATATAATTTCAAGATTTAGTTTGAAGCTGTTTTTTATATTCTTGTAAATTTTTCATTCTAGCTTGTACATCACTCCCTGGTATTAATGAAATAGAATGATTTATAGTTTTTGATTCTGATCAATCTTTACCTTTAGATAATTCCACACCAGAGTTTGTCTTATCAATATTAGAACTAAGAAGTTCCTCATTCTGTGAGACTTTCTTTTTTCTACTAGTCTTTTTTGTTGCTAGTTTGCTCAAAAAAATTACTTGCTCAGGATTTCTGGCACTTGATAAGCTATGTATAGACAAGATTTCTGGTTGAAGTATTGAGATAGATGAATTCATAGATGTTATTTCTATTTCAGGTGGTTGAGAATATATCTAGCCATTTACAATATCATTATATCTTTCACTACTAATTTTATAATTAGCACACATAATGCATTTTCTATTTGATATCTGTTTTGCATGAGCATCCCTTATTTTTTCAATTGCTTCAGGAGTTAATGAAGTAGCAGTAGGGTTAAGATATTGTTGAACTCGAGATCTATCTTTGGTTTTAACTATTTTAGAAAAATATATAATAATATTAAAAAAATATCTGATTTAAATCTAGAAAAATATCTATTCATTTCTAGTATTTAATTGGATAAAAACTAAGTCATAATTAGATAATAATCAGACACAAATTAGACAAAAACTGAGAAATAATTATTACTGACTTGATTATAGATCTATTTTTATATAAAACTAGTTAATTATTATTTTATGCCTAGCTAAGTATCAATTTTTGTCCAGCTAATTACTAACTTTTGCCTAATTATTGCCTGGTTAAATACCAATTATTATCTAGGTTCCTTTTTATTTATAATTAGTAAAAAGTCAAATTGTGATTAGTTTTTTTTTTGAACATAATTCTCTTCAATTATATGGTACCAATATATATTTTGTATAGTGAATCTACTAATGCCAAAAATTTTCAAGGATGTAGATATAAATTAGATAGTAGAGAATATGAACTTGAATCTCAATACAATAAGTTGCTTCTTGAAACTGAATTTTTCACTAATAAATGTTCCAAATTTAGAAATACTAAAACTCTTGCAGAAGCACAATCTGATATGATTACTAAAGAGCTAGAGAAAAAAAATGCCAAGATTTTACATCTCCAGAAAAAATTAAATCAGTACATTAATGACAAAAATCAAAATGATTTGATTAAAAAACAACTCAAAGAAGAAATTAAAGAGTTGAAAAGCAAAAATACTAACTTTACTGAGTATAAAGCCAAATATTATAGTAAACTGGAAGAAGCGAATTTATTCTAATCTAGAATCAAGTTATTGGAAGAAGAATTATCTTTAACTCAGAAATACTCATTAAAAAAAGATTCTGAGATAATAACCCTCAAAGCTGAATTGGTGAATATAAAGATTGAATTAGATTCTAAGATCAGTGAGCTTGAGTGTCTAAAATCAGAAGATATTATAGTATCTGTGGTTGGTAGAAATAATGAAAAAAATATATCAAAATCTAGACCCAAAGAGAAAGAGGCTAAGCTTTGCTCTGTGTCATCATTGCTTTGCAATAATAATATCTCTGTAGTTAGTGAAACTAGCAAAAATCTCAGTTAATATTTTGTATGTAGAAAAATTATAAATGAAGTTGAAAAAATTAGCACTAATATACTGACTCAAACTAATGATAAAATTGTTCTAATATTAGAATCTTCAAAAATTGATACTGAGGTTACTTCTAAGATAAGTGATGAAACTATTATTAATAAAAATAATAAAGATAATATATTACAACTAATCAATACTGAAAACTAATTTCAAGAGATAAAAAATGTGACTCTGATTAGATCTCATAATATTACAATAAGAAGAAGTAGGAATTACCTATTATAGCATTAGGTACTAGCATAGTTAATAAGTATCAAACTACTTCTATTAAGTTTGTTATTTTTGCCTTGATAATATTATTAATTATATGGTATATATACAGGCAAATTTTTTGTCTAACCTTGCCTTCTCATTCTTTAAACTCGAAACCAGATTATATCTACAGTATGACTACCTCTGGTAATTTGTTTTCTAGAATATATAAACTGATCATAAACGAACAAAGTGAAATGAATTATCAGAGGGAAGAAAATTTTTATTCAGTCTATAAAAAAAAGAGTTATGGATTCCCAATCTGTCATGCAAAAAAACTCAAAGACAGGATTACCTTCAATGAAACTTTTCCTTATAGATATTGATGAGACTACAAAGTACAAATCATCCCAAGTTCAACTGTTTTGCTAATCCTTCAAAGATTTGTCCCATCTAAATCTAATTAATAAGAGATCATCAGATGATCTTCAAATATCAATAACTACAAAGTGCTTTTTTATTACCTCATAAATTTTTTTTGCTAGAGGTTCATAATCATTATATGTATCTTTAAGAATTCACTTTATGCTATCTAAAGTTCTATATCCATGATGTAATAAAATATATTTAAGATTTCCACGTATATTTGAATAGGTTTCATAGAAATATTAGGCAATATAAATTGAGCTAATTTCATCATGTCTGCTTGACCTAAAGAAAGGAACGACTTTTAGTTGAGTTGCAAGAGGTTCGCTAGCAAGATTATCAAAGACTATAACAGTAAATTGGCTAGTTCTTTTGAAAGATAAAATATCAAGTAGTTCTTCAGGTGCAATCAGCTTGAATCTCATATTTTCATACTATGGAGCTTGCTTATCTATGACTATAAACTCATAAAAATATTGTACTGCTTCCCATAACTCTTCATCTTGGTGTTGCACAACAACAATTAGATTATCATATGGAATATACCTTTCACCAAAATTTTTGCTTTTGCCTTTTGGTACTTTATGACTACATTTTTTACCAGACATCCATAGATATATTTTTAGATATTTGCTTCCTAGGAGCAGATGTACTACCATGCTCGTCTTTCCAGATTCAGAAGTGCTCGCAACTAGTAGTCTAAATAGATGTTTAGGAGCAAATAGATTCTGTTTTTTCAAAGGTATAGTTTCATCTAATTTGTATAGTTCGTAATACTCCATAGTATTTTGAAAAGTAGGATAATTATTTAAGAAACATATTTTGTTGACCTAGTAATTGGACCTGTTTAAAAAATTATTACTCGGGTGACCCAGGTGATCGACAGGTATACCTGAGTAAAATTTTTACCTATTGTACCCAGGTGGTTTCATAGTCAGACATTCGTTTGATTAGCTAATGTAAATCAATTACTCGGGGAATTAATTTTGGAAAAAAACACAATTACGGCATTTGAACTAAGATTTGCATCTAGAAAATATATACTATGTTGCTACGCAACAATGGCTTGAGAGATCAATTAAAAAAAAAATAATAACTAGCTTCTAATGTTTAGAATAAATTTAAATAGTCATTCTTAGCTTACTTTTTGTTTATTTTATTTTAAC